GCACTCTGTCTCTCTCTCAAAAATAAATAAACATTAAAATTTTTTTTTTTTTTTAAATTTTTTTTTTTTTTTCAACGTTTATTTATTTTTTTGGAGGGCAGAGCATGAAGCGAGGGGAGGGGCAGAGAAAAGAAGAGGAGACCTGAAATCGAAGCAGGCTCCAGGCTCGAACCCATCAGCCCAGAGCCCGGTAGCTGGGGTTTCCGAACTCGGGCCTTGAATCGTGACCTGGCTGAAGTCGGACGCTTAACCGACTTCGCCACCCAGGCAACATTAAAATTTTTAAGCGGCTCAGAGTAGTTCTATCAACTTTCCCTGATGATGGAAAACGTTCTGTATTTGTGCTACCCAATATCATGTGCTTATTGAGCCCCTTGAAATGTGGCTAATGACGACAAACGTACAATTTTGTAGTACTTATTTTAATTTAAATAGCCAACATGTGGCTAGCGACTACCGCATTGGACAATGCAACTCTAGAGTGGTCATCTTTAAACACAACTTTATTTAGAACACTGCTCTTTACTTTTATAATAAAACTGGGGTGGGTGGCGCGGAGTGGTTAGCGTCAACTTCAGCCAGATCCCGCGATCTGTGATCCGTGAGTTCCGAGCCCGTGTCAGGCTCTGGGCTGATGAGGCTCAGGCCTGAATACTTCACGTTCTGTGTCTCCTCTCTCTCCTCCCCGTTCATGCTCTGTCTCTCTCTGTCTTAAAAATAAATAAACGTTGAAAAAAAATTAAAAAAAAAATAAAATAAAATAAAACCAATTCTCCTTAACTGAATATATACGGCCTGAAAAAAATCAGCTTCCTACATTTCTGCCCCCCCCCCACCTTCTAGCACCACGTCCAAACTCACACATATCCTGTGTGTGATACACATATGTATTATCCATATAAAACTAGTTTGTAGAATACCACACACCTCCTTGCCTGTGCAAAAGCTGTCCTCGCCGCCTGCACACTCTCCTTGCCCACCTGCCTTACTCATCCATCAGGCAGCTCCTCCTCTAGCCTATTCACCATTCCTTGTACCTCCTCGGCACCTTAGTGCTTCCCTACCAGCACGTCACTATTCCTATTGCTACAATACACTTATTGCACTGTACTCAGAGCTCCCTGAGGGCGGAAATTGAGTTTTCTAATGACATCACTGGTGTCTACCAAATGTTTGCAAATAGGTGTCCATCCCCAGCCTCTAAGGTAACTACTTGAATCGTTATTCCTATTACTAGTTACATCAAATCCAAACCTTTCAATCAAAATCTTCAAGCAAAGGGATCTGTCACTCAATAATTCCTTTTAGAACCCCTCTCCTTGAGCCAAGCCTCCCTTTTTACATTGTCTGCTGATGATGTGGAACATTCCACAACCCTGTCTGTGCTTCCTTGATTGTCCTTCTGCTTCTCTACCAACCTGTGTCTATTACTTTCTTGGAGAACCAGGGAAAAGTTTGCCCCAAACAAGAGCCTCCTTTGGCTTACCTCACAACTCCACCTGACTGACATGATCCTGCCTCTGACCATCCTGTGGCCATTTATTGTACACTGTGTTCCAAACTAGAAGGTCAATTCTTTGAGGACAGAGATTTTCTCCTCTGCTTCCTTTCCTATCTGCAGCATTCTCTACCATGCTATGCATTTATCAGGCACTTAAAAAGTATATGTTAAAGACAGTATGACATCTTAAAGAGGATGTCTGTTGCTGCTATGAATTCCAAAAATAATTATTCCCAACTCCTGCATTTTCAACATCCTATTATGTGTATCTTATTGTTTAAGTAGTATCTAGATATTAAAGATGAAACTGAAAGAGCAAAATAAATAAAAGCCATAGAGCCCTTTCTCTCCTATAAGTAAGGGTCTAATTAAACAAAATAAATAAGGCTAGGAAGTTACAAATCCACATGCTAGGAACTCCTTACCATACCTCAATGACATGAATAATGATTTGAAATTAAAGACCTGGGCATTTTTAAAAAGCAAAAATGATAAAAAGGATAAGCATTGTTTTTTCTTCTTTTTTTAAATATGTATTTACTTATTTATTTATTTATTTTTGACAGTGAGAAAGAGTGCAAGTGATGGGGTGGGGAAGAGACAGAGGGAAAGAGAGAGAGAGAGAGAGAGAGAGAGAGAGAGAGAGAGAGACAGAATCTGAGGCAGACTCCAGGCTCTGAGCTGTCAGCACGGAGCCCAACGCGGGGCTCGAACTCACAAACCGTGAGATCATGACCTGAGCCAAAGTCGGATGCTTAACCAACTGAGCCACCCAGCTGCCCCAACATTGTTTTTTAACTGTTGTCAGAGGCTATATCCATCTGTTGTGGAATTAGAACTGGAAATCAATGTTTTTATCAAGTCATAGTGACTATAATAAATGTGCTTTTGCCACACCTGAGGACACTTTCACACCGTATGACAAGCGTGCTGAGATGTGACTGTACCAGGACCTTTTCTGACCTGAGCTGACATATGAAATATAAAACCCCAACCTATGGATGCCAATATTCTAAAGCTAAGATTCTTCTTTTGAGTTAGAATACTACACAGAAGCACCCATTCTGTTAAAATCAGTAGACAATAAATTCCTACTTTTCAATTTTCAGATATGTATTTAATGCTTAATTCTCCTTCTCTCACCTTCTCCTAAAAAAAAAAAAAAAAAAGTGCTATCTCAAGTATTAAAGGTCAAAGCAGAAATCCTACAAGTACACCAGAATCTTTAATGGACAGTATAGTATCTGGCATTTAAAGTCATATCCTCTAGAGATAGAATGAAAAGAGGCTTTCAAATTATTTTCAAGGAATGAGCTGCTTTCTATTTTTCAATTTTTAATGGACTACTTTATGTATTGAGGTCTTAGATCTTCATTAAAGTTAATAAACAATTTAATTTTCAATAATCTAGTCATTTGAATTATCAATGATACAAGTTTTAACTGTAGAAATTAACTAAGAAAACTAATAATGTTTAATCATGTCAGCTTTCTAGAGAATGTCCATAGTTATAACAGCCGTTGACTGAAAGCTGAATTATGGAGAAGAGTCACTAACACCAGATCCAAGAGAATTTTAATACGAATTTCTTATCTTTTAAAGGACATCCCATAGACTTTTCTAATTCTTATTTTAGACAAGATTCTCCACCTTACTGTTTAATTTTACATCAAAGCATTACTTTTCAACAAAGTTACTTCAAAACATTCAAGGTGTAAACAGCCCATAAACGGCAAAGCTATATTTCATTTATTTGAACAGCTTCATCAATAATAATAAAAGTATTTATATTTATACTATTTACTATAGTAAATAGTATAAATATATAGTAAATTTTATATAGTAAATTTTCTCATAATGAAATTAATCATGCCGGCACCACTTACCAGATGCCCATCATGAGGCATACATTATGCCAAGCCCTTTACCCTATTTAATTCTCTTAATACTTGTATTCTATGAATGTTGTGATTATCCCCATTTTACAGAGGAAGAAATTAGAGCTCAGAGAGATTAATTTGCCCAAATATGGCTCCAAATTCCTCTCAAATACAAATCCCCAAATCTTCTTCCTATCCTCTAAGCTTACAGAAGCCTGAATAGCTTCTTTGTATTCATTCATTCATTCATTCATTCAAGAAATAGTCATCAAATGCTCTCTAAGTTACAGGCATTGCCCTAGATGCTGGGGACACAGTGGTGATGTAGAAAATAAAAATAAAGTAAAAAAAATAAAAATAAAAAAATAAACCCCCCTGCCTTCAGAGAGCATACATTCTGACAGAGAATGCCAAAAAAATAAAATGTACCATAAGTCAGAGAGTGGTAAGTACTATGAAGAAAATTACCACAGATTAATAGGATGTAAAGGGTAATGGTGTCAGGTGCTGGTTTACACAGGGGTCAGCACATTTATGGAAACTTCCTGTTTCCCATACCTTTTTCTCATCACTTCTGCGTCCCCACTTCCTTATCTTCCCTCACATCCGAAACCACAAGTTAGATAAGTCATACTAAAAATTCTAAGGCCAAATTCTGGTTTAGAATCCCAGAAGAAACTCTAAATTGAAAAACAGAAACAGACTTGAGGGGAGTAGAATGGATGGATATTTTCATACATCTAAAAAAAACTAGTATCTTCAAAATTATTTTTGCATTTGATAGCCAAACTTTAATTAAATCATTTCTTTTTTTTTAAATTTTTTTTCAACATTTATTTATTTTTTGGGACAGAGAGAGACAGAGCATGAACGGGGGAGGGGCAGAGAGAGAGGGAGACACAGAATCAGAAATAGGCTCCAGGCTCTGAGCCATCAGCCCAGAGCCCGACGCGGGGCTTGAACTCACGGGCCGCGAGATCGTGACCTGGCTGAAGTTGGACGCTTAACCGACTGCGCCACCCAGGCGCCCCAATTAAATCATTTCTAAAACATCTACGCTGTTGCTTCTTCCCACTCTTCCTATCTACCTGATTGTCAACATGCTTGCAGTGGAGAAAGGAAAGACCTTATTTGTTGTTACCATTTTTATTAGCAGTTTTAGGACAGTTCAGTGTCTCAGGAAGAAATGCCTTTCTTCTCCAACAGTTTGAACAATAAAAGCCAGTAAAACCAGTTTCTGTGAAAACGGCCTGAAACGATCAAGGCTCTACTACACCAAAAATGAATAGATCACGTCTCCAATGCAGACATTCTGAAAGAATGAAGCTAAATACAAAAGTTTAGACTGAATCGATACTCTCTTGCCCTTGACCTTAAAGGAAACCAACCAGTGTTCTGTTGTTACTGTTGTTTTAATTTTTAAGACAAAGATTATTTAAAGGCTTCAATTAATATTTACATATTAAGAATAATTTATATGCCAGCCCAGATCATAATAAGCAATGGTCAAATTTTGTATCATGACTGTTCCTACAAATACAGCAATGTTTGGAGAGCCTAACTGCTTATGTCACTATCCAGAGTCAGAGATTTAATAGTACTCTATCTATTAGACTTACCTCTGCAGCTAAATAGTTCCCAGTTGCAAGGTGTTTAAATCTGAACAAGCTGTTCCATTGTCCAGCACCTCCACGGCAAGGGTCATGATGAACTACCTGCAGACAAAAAGAGGAACAACGATAAAGGCTAAAAGATACTCACGTTGCTGGCAAGCAAATGCCAACATTTTACACAAAGTGCTCGCCTGTTAATACTAACTTGTGAAATCTAATATGTTTTCATAAGAGGACAATGTGGCTGAAAAACAAAATTCCCCCACAAATGAGCAAGAGACCTAACAGTTAACTCACTGTGTGCATGCATGATACTCATGCCTTAACTGTGCAAATACAGCCTTACTCCAAAAGACAGGTTTCTCAGGCCAAAACTGGAAATGCTGTGGGGTTTTTCCCCATTTGTTACTCAAATATTCTTTCAACAAATCCTATTAAAAGCTTACTATGCACCAAGTACTCTTCTAGACAATAGGACGCAGCAATGAGTAAGACTAGAGCTTTTAATACATAAGATTTGGCAAGTGCTAGGAGGAAATAAACAGAGAGCATGACAGAGGAGGTAGGGAAGGCTTCTTGAGATGTAGCGATTAGCACAGGCCACTCGGAGATGACATGGTGGCTGAAACCCACAGGGTAAGAATAAACAGTCACGTAGAGAGATTGGAAGATATCATTCCAGGTAGAGAGAACCACAAATGCCAAGACCTGGAGCTTTCTCAACTAACTTAATTCTTGGCCCTATCCGTGGATGCTTTTTTACTAATACCATGTCCTTTCATATCTGTCCTAGGAACTGGCTGAGCCAGGAACTGGCCCAGATGCTGAGCCACCAGACTCCCTGAGTACAAAAGAAGGTGCTCTGAAGCAGCTGCTTACGCCAGGTGACCTGATGCACAGCAGCAAATCCTAGGCTTTACAGTCTGAAGATGACTGTGTTTGAGCCCCAGCTCTGCCAATTACTAGGGTATGATCACAGCAGGCAATTGAACATCTTCAAGCCAGTTTCATCATGTCTAAATGATTTTAATTCATAAGACTGTTTTGAAGATTAAGTACCAGGAGAACTTTTCATTATTCTCCCCCAACAGGTTACCTTCTTTTTGTTAATACTGACCACACTTAGACTCCTGCCTCCAGCCTCAAATTCTGTGTGCTGCTATACAGAACTTTCTAATATTTTTTGCTAGACTCCGGCATCTAGGAATCCCCTACTCTGATAGCTCAAGTAAGATAATAATTATGAAAATACTTCAAAGTGGATGAAGTCTTAAAAACACTCTCCCTGTGATCAAAAACCTACCCATCCTAAAAGGCTAAGTTCTCAAACTTCTTCCACAAATCCTTTACAAATCACATTGGCTATACTCTAACTCCTTTGACAAAGACATTGATACCTTTGAGAATGCTCAAGTCTATCAGCTGTCTCACATACATACACAGATTTTGCACACAATTGCTGGAGGTTAACAAATAACTTGAAGCTCACCACAGATCGCAGACTAAGAATTCCTATCCTATACAGTAGTGCATGTAGCAATGCTCGTATAGCTCCCTAAAGGACAATTTGGAGATACAGAGTGTCATCATTTATCACAATGATTTTGCAAGGCTGCTCTTGGCATCATCAGGCATTGGCCAAGATACAAAAATCCTGCAAGTCACAGCCTTCTAAGTGATCCACTGTATCACAGGGGTAGGAAGCCTCATCAACAGGGTTCTGGAGTCATTCCACTGGAACAGAAAGCAGAGAAAAGTAGAATAGAGCTTCTCTCTTTCTCTCTCTCCCAAAATAAACTTTAAAAAAAAATTTGAAATAATAAAAATAAAGATAGGAAATATGTTTGTTGTACAATTTCATCTCTATTCTAAACCATGGCAGAATTATCCAAACCAAGCCTACAGAATTATTTTGATGTTACCATTATAATTAAGGGTCAGCTCACTGGAATAAACATCATACTTCCTCATTGTCTGTTTCAATAGTCTGTAATGTGTGCCGTTACCCCTCTTTCAGCAGGGTTACTTCCCTCTTTTTTTCATCATGTGAAAAATAAGTATGTTCTGTTATTACTTCTTCTAACACGAGATATAATTCAAGGGCCCACGTTTGCCCCTGCTCGTTCATTTTCCTGTACTTGCATAGAATGTCTTCAGATCCTCATCTCCTACCACTTCTTTCAAGTCCAAATGCGTTTATTCAAGATACGTACAAATATTATACCTTCTAAAGCAATTATTTACATGTTGAAATACATATTATTTTATTACAAATCATTTTCCTTTTCTTCTTTATTTTGAAATTTAGGCATTTTATCAATTTTTAATCATGAAAATCTGTAAATAATATTACCTATGAATTCTATTTTAAGCTATTAAAGGAAGTGCCACAAAATATATGCTGTAAAAGGGGAGTGATGGGTTTAAAATGATTGCAAATCACTGCTATAGCCTTAGATGTCCATTACATCAGGATGGAACTTATCAAATGTTGGCTCGTTCATGAGTAATTACATCTATCTTATCTCCTCCATGGTATAGAAAGATCCTTTAAAGAAAAATCCATACCTTGCAATTCTTAATTACTCTGTCATACTGGCAATGACTTTTTAAAGGATGGATGAATTCTTAACTATGGGTCTCCTCATTCCCATAAAAATGGCATCCCCTGAAGACATAAATGTTCTTCTCAGTTACTGTGCGGTTCTGATATCTATCTTCACTTAAAGTGAGTTGTCATATTCCAATCTTAACTCCAGTGCCATTTGAGGCACATTGCCTGCAGTCTGATCAATCTTCACAACATTTCCCAATGGATTTTTAAAAAGCAACATCTATATATGCTCTTATTAGATGTGAGAGAGAGAGAGAGAGGGAGAGAGAGAGAGAGAGATGCGCCAGAGAGAATAGGTAAAGGAAGTAGTAAGAATTCAAACTGATCATAGTAATGAGGAGGACAAGTTAGTTCACAAATATTACTCTTTTATCAACTTATCACAAATGATGCCTATAATAATAAAATAATCAGCCTAGTAAATCTGATTTACTAGTAAATTTATATAATTTTTTAAATAAATACTTACTAAAATCCAAAAATATTTACACACCTCTATTTCCCAGAGTGCTTTAGAACTAGTAGCAGAAGTGGCTGATTGACGCAAGGTTGTACGAAGGAAAATGTGTTGTTTTTTCTCATATTCATCACAAGTCAGAAACTTCTCTTGTTCTGCATGAAACAATCTAACAACATCACCCTAGGAAAAGAGGAAAATAAAACTGTATTTCCAAGAAAATTCTGAACAAATAGACATATGAAGCAGATGTCTCTTTCTGGTTTTTATACTCTGTACCCTTCTGCTAGTTACTTGGCTTTTAATGATTATTTATATGTCCCAAAAAGAGGAAAACTCAATGAAACACTCAGTGTGGGTATTAAGGTCTATAACCATCTTCTGAAGTATGAATACTAGCGAATACACAGGTTTCGCATGTAGAATTTCAGTAAGACTGCCTTCAGTTCTTCTGGCAAATGTTCCATGTAGCACATACTTACTCCTTTTAGTACATCCTCTCGATAGGAACTATATTTCATAAATAAAGTGATTTTCCAGCTCGTGTTGCAATTAACAGCATTCACCTATTAATGAAGAAATGCTAAGTTATAAGACTATGCATTCCGTTTTGTACCAGAAATTATTCCTCCAAATGGTAAAAAGAGAGAAAAAAGATAACTTTGGACAATGAGGTATGTACCTCAATACAAATACCATCCAAAACTAGCAATCATTATCTACGTGGATCTTAGGAATATTAATTACTATAACTGGGGTTATGCTCATGAAAACAATAAATGAAGCTACATGACTTTTTTTTCTCTCACAATGAATATAAAATTCATTTTCTTTCCACCTGAACTTACCTCTTTACACCCTGGATTATCCAGAAGCTCTATGTTGCTGGCATGCAGTGGTTGTCCTGCATTCACGGGCATCAAAACAACTTTGTCGCCTACGACAATCTAGGAATCAGAAATAAGTTGCAACCATGACACTGAGTGGATCTGTGGTGCTCCGTTTGAAGCTCAAAACAACTGCACAGAAGTCCTCATTATTGACCTAACACACAAATCTTAGTTCAATTCTTTTTCTCCTTGAGGTAAAATGTCTTCTGATTAATGATCATGTAATCATGTTCATAATGCCTATCAGCCTGGATTCATAAAGCCAGTGTAGATCCTTTTCTTATTAGTCTCCCATTTCAGTAAGAACTTTTTTTAATGTCGATAAATAGGACAATTCGCCTCAACATGAGGTTCTTGCCATGTGCACACCAAAGAGAGTGAATACATCCGCCACAAACAATCTGCCTAAATATTTGAACCACTTCAAGTGCGAGGAGAAAATGTCATACATGTATTATCTAGGGAATTAAAAACAAGTCTGTGAAATTTGATCCTTCCCATAATCTCAGAAATCTATTAAACATTCTAATGCCATCTGGATTCAGGAAATGCACAATTAGGTATGACCTGGTAGAAATATGTTTATTGTTTGGTCCTTAAGCATCTGGTTGACTTTTGTCTTAAACATCCCAAACTAATATTGTTCTTTAAACTTGGTATTCATTTTTAAGTCAAAAAAAAAAAAAAAAAAGCTAAAAAACTGACTCTACTGACTGGCTGGCTCAGTCGGTAGAGCACGCAACCCTTGATCTCAGGTCATAAGTTTGAGTCCCATGTTGGGAGTAGAGATCACTTAAAAAACTAATTAAAATATACATAATATTTTTTAATTGGTTTTGGTAGAAATGCTCTAGAGAAGTAAGTCTAAGTTGATTTTTCATCTATGTTGTCATTAACGATGACCAATTTACCCTCAAGAATTTCTATTCATAGGAGCGCCTGAGTGGCTCAGTCAGCTAAGCGTCCGACTTCGGCTCAGATCATGATCTCATGGTTAGAGGGTTCCAGCCCCGCATTGGGCTCTGTGCTGACAGCTCAGAGCCTGAAGCCTACTTTGCATTCTGCGTCCCCCCACCGCCCCTCCCCTGATTGTGCTCTGTCTCTGTCTCTCAAAAATAAATAAATGTAAAAAAAAATTTTTTAAGAATTTATATTCATAATTCAAATTGTGGGAAATAAAGTTACGTTTTCTTAATGATAATGAACAGTTTAATTTTGGAATTATTAAAGTCTCTCTTGTGACAATCCATTAGAAGACTTATTATTGTAGGACCTATACTCTTAATTCTCATATGAAATTTCTTACCATCTCAGAAATGAAAAACAATACCTCTCTTTGCATACTTTGTACGAACTGAATATGAGAATACATTAATTTGAGAGAAAACTGAAAAGCAAATCAGAACTCAGAAAATAAGAATAAACAAAACTTCTTCCTGTATCTTAACCTAGACCAAGACTTTCAGGAACATAATGTCATATTTCCAATATAAATTAAGATTTTGTGGGTTATATACAGAAGTCTACATTTACACATAGTAGTGCTGTCACAAACTATATCTGGAGATTCAAATATGATAGAGAAGCTTCAAGTTCATTATTCGAGCGAAGGGTAGTTGTTCTTAGTTTGCAGAAGTAGCTTCTAGAATTGGTCTCTGTTCATCACCCGCCTTTCAAGTCATCATCAGTCAGGTGCTGGTGCCTAACTCACAAAAGCTCTGTATGCTGTAGAAGCTCTCTATGCACAGATAAGGGAACACCACCAAGAAAAGGTGTTAAGTGAGAGGGTGAGGAAACAGAGTGGGCTCTATTTGTGTTAAAAGGAGAGGGAAGGAGTAAAAGTACATGCATAAGAAATCTTTCCAGAGGTTAACTGTGGTGCAGAGGGCAAAAACTGGGGAGATGGAAAAAAGGGTAAGAGACTTTAAGTGAAACATCTTTATATTGCTTTCTATCTGTGAACCAAAATTGGTAAGTAGTTTTAAAAATTAAATAAACAAAAACATACAAAAGCCAACATGACATAAACATATTTCCAACATCCCCTTCTACAACACACACACACACACACACACACACACACACACACACACTTCTTACTGCACATGACATCAAAGTGGCTCTAACTCTCAGAGCCGGACAGAAGTCCACATCATCATCCATACTACGAATACTGGGATTTAATACACATCTTGCCAGTGCTGTGTCTGATCTTCCAATTTCTTAAGGAACAACTGGATTTGGTTTACAATGTCATTCTCATCTGCATCATATAAATATTAGTCAATAAGCTACTAAATATAATGATATATTTCAGCTGTGTCTTTTCAATTAAAAGAATTTTTTTGTTTGCACCTATATCCACTGACCTAAGTCTTACTATTTTAGTGTACTTTTCTGTAAGCTTTGGGTCAATCCATATGTTCTATTTATTTCAAAACACCACCCATAAAGTCTTATACTGTATATTTTTTTTAATTTTTTTTAGCTTTTATTTATTTTTGAGACAGAGAGAGACAGAGCATGAACTGGGGAGGAGCAGAGAGAGAGGGAGACACAGAGCTGTCAGCAAAGAGCCCGATGCGGGGCTCAAACTCAAGGACCGTGAGATCGTGACCTGAGCCGAAGTCGGACGCCCAACCGACCAAGCCACCCAGGCGCCCCTTATACTGTATATTTTTAAGAGACCAGCCATATAGCCAAAATGTTCCAAGCACCAAGGTTTCATAAGAATGGTATTCACAAAGAGAATCTAACATCAATTCACTGATTTCCAAGTCCTCTGTCTTGTTCTTGACAATGGTGACTTTGAGTAACCAAGCTGAAACAAAACAAAAACAAAACAAAACAAAACAACAACTTGAAAATGAATTGGACAAGATACTAATCAAAAGAAATAAAAAGAACAGTAAGGGGTGCCAAAAAGAATACAAACATGTGAGAAATAATCCCTGTTCTTGGGGAACTTACACATAATTGGATAAAGCAGTAAATATGGAACTTGGGGCTGATCCACCAATGTGGTCAGATGCCTTCCCAGATGCTATGTATTTAATACAGAACTTGAGGTTGCAATCATTTTCTGCCGTGACACACTCACCCTAGTACAAAATCATCTTTTAAAAATTCCAATTTCAAAAGCACTTCTGTTGGTTCTAAGCAACAGTCATGTAAAATTCAAGTTGAGATTTTACTGCAAATAAAGAGCAATACAGTGCCACTGGCAGCTACCCTTCTTTTGAAGTGGCACCTGGCCTGGTGAAAAGAACACTGCAATAAAAACCAAAACACCAGGGATCTAGTCCTACCTTTGCTAGAATTCCAAGAGACCTAGTTTTGCAAAATAGCAAAATCTACTTGCTATTTGAAGAGGCTCTTACCCTAAGAGTTGAATTTTTCTCTTGACTGGAGGAAGATCTGGGCTTTTCTCCTTTTTAAAATCTACCATCAAGGTTAAGAAGTAATAACTTCTTAGATCAAAGTTGAAAATTAAAAAAACAAACACTGAATCTTGGGAAAATAAATGAAAATGAAATATTTACATACTCTGCTATCCCCAATGACTTTCTAACTATTCAACAGCAAGGAAGAGCTTCTATACAGCTGAAAGTTGAGGGGTCCTTGAATCTCTTTTCCCCCAAAACCCATCCAACTGACAATTCTGTAAGATATGGCATAAGTGTTCTTAAATGATAGAAACCGCTCATTTTTGAGGATACGAGCATTTTTCTCCCCAGACTATCATCAGCCTCATTTTTTCTTTTTTTAATGTTTGTTTAATTTTTAGAGAGAGAGACAGAGAGAGAGTACAGCAGTGAACCCAACGTGGGGCTCAAACTTACAAACTGTGAGATCATGACCTGAGCTGAAATCAAAAGCTCAAACAACTGAGCCACCCAGGCGCCCCTCATCAGCCTCGTTCTTAAGTTTCATTTCAGTCACCGAACATCTTATTGGATACTTACAACCTAAATCACAACTTACTACTTGCTAAATGGTAGAGTATAATTTTAAAAGTCCTTTGAACCTTTCAATTTCTTCTTAGCTTAATACACTTTTAAGAAAAATCAGTAATAATTAAATCACTTACTACGACATGATAGTATTTCCTACATTTTAGAATTTTAGAACGATACTTATTGCTAGGGAATGCTACCTATTCCTGGGGAAGAAAATGAGCATTGCTATACATTTAAGTGGCAAACAGAGGACTATGGGTGTGCTTATGTTTTCACAGCAACCTTAATCACACACAATAGCTACATAGTGGTGAGCAAAAACAATGAGCTGTTACAGCAAAAAGCAATGTGGAAGGTTGCTTTAGCCATGCTTTATGGAGCACATCTATATAAGGAGGATTTCTATATTGCACTTAACAATTACATTGTCCATTTTACCAAAATGAAGTGTTTGGGTGGTAGGTTCCCCCCACCCCAGGACAACTAATTATTTGAAATAGTTCATTACATTCAACTCTCAGTTGATCCTATAAAGGCATCTGGGAGCAAGGAGAGGAATAGACAGAATGAATAAGTAAACAGAATGAATTAATAAAATCCACAGTGAATCTAAAGGCCCTAATTTATCCAATCATTTCCTCATATTCCCTCAGAACTTGAGCTCAGGTTTTGCTTTTTTCACAGTTTGATTTTCACTGACCATCTACAGCCAGGGACACTACTCGGTGGGAGACCAGAGAGGGAAGCAAGCATTACAAGAAAGGGCACCAAAAGACATAGGTTGTTCATAAACTACATAGTCAGTCCCTAAATAATTGAGAGTTGATTGTAATTAACTACCTACTGAAGTTAAGATATATATCATGCTCACAGCACACATCACTTGATGCCAAAAAATAAACATGTAGGGCTTATTTTTTTAAGGACTCCAACACAAGACTTAAAGTGCACTACATTCCTGCATGCCATGCGCCTCCCAAACCTTACCTAAAGAGGGTATCATCAGATAATTTATTAACCAAATTAAACCATGAAGCTTGCATCCTGTGGAATTGAATGTATATTTCAAAATTCACCAGAAAAAATAGATTCACTATAAAAGAGGACATTTCTAGGACAAGAAATATCCAAAACATATTTAAAATGTAATCAAAGCACTGAGAAAACTATCAGAATAATTATATTTTTATATTGCTTGGATTTTATGTTAATTTTTTTTAAATCGCAACTATTTTCTTGATCACCTGACCCAATATTTGCAAAGTATTCTATTCATAAAAAGTTATTCAGCATTTATGGAGCATTCCCCATGTGCTAGGGACTGTCACTTGCTACTTCATTTATTACAAATGAAAATAAATAACAATGTATTGAACCATTTCACATAATTTTTATTTTCCCTACTCTATAAATTTTCTAGCAGAAAATACTTTAGCAGCTGCTAAAATCTACATGATATGACATACATGTATTCCAAAATGTATTTTCAATACTGTCATCAACAAGCGCCCACCTATAGCTCCTCATACGTTATGCATCTTTAAGATGTATAGACTGTAAACAGCTGACCATAGAGCCAATAAATGAAATACTGGCATAAGGCATTGTTACTCTATTAATTCAAAGGGATAAACAACATTTCCTAAGCATAGCTTTCTCCTTACAACCATGCTCCCTCCTGATTAAGAAAGGAAGCAAACTCTACCCTTTGAAAGGTTCGGCCAATGTTAACATTACTTAAATTCTTTCACATGAATTCCAACTGGAAGATGATTTTTAATTAATTTGAATTTTGTCTTTTCATGATTCCCAAGCATAATTTGCACTGTAAATAAATACTTTTAACCTATTAAACGTACGACCATAAAAATAACGTGTCGATTGAAAACTACGTATCATTTCTTTGTGCTATCTGGATTCTTTCACTTATTAATAATTATTGTCTTTATGAACATACTGTTTCTCTCTTAATTTTATTTTTACATACATTGTCACCCTCGCTTCTCAGCTTCCAGAAGGGATGAATATAAAACCAAGACCCTTCATTTCCAGCAGCATCCAAGGACACACGCATGGCGTTCTTCTCCAATAAAGCAGGTAATCTCTTGTTGACAGTCAGATACTTGTTGCTTTTTATATGCAGCAGCTGTAGGGAAAAAGACATTACCACCTTTATTCTTTGATGTCCTCTGTTAATTACATGTGTATGCTTGTACCTATATGTTGAACCCACATAACACCACTTGGGGTGCAAGTCAAACAAAAGAGGTCTTTTTAAACTTCACACTCACCATCAAATTTCCAAGCTGACTTTCTTCGGGTTCCTCTTCACCTCCACCCCCCGCCCCCTATGAACTGGGCACATGGAGAAATCAAACCAGAGGATACCTCTGAACCATTTTTATCTACTGATAAATAATAGGATAAAACCAAGCGTCCCAAAGGAGACCAGGAAATTCCAAACATTTTTTCAATTCTTGCACAGACACAACAGAATACACGAAAAAAATAACCAAGAAACTAAAATAATGCACCAAACCACTTAGTGTTATTAACCATCCCTGCCAAGGACAGCCCTACTTCTTCCTGTGTGAACAGGCAGGCTTTGCATCCTCAATAATCCCTGCTCACTGATCCTACTCCCTTCTCAGATGAGCATGGATGTGCCATTTCTCAGACTTTTTGGGTGCCATTTGCAAAACCTCTCCAAGACCGTATTCTACTGAGTAGGAAAGCCAAAACAAACAACCTTCCTGTCTATTATTACAATCATTCCAAAACAGAATGGTCATTTTAATATCCACAATATAAGAAAGAAATTATCTCATGAACTGATGAAACCCTCATGGTCCAGCCCCACTCCTTTGGAATCCACCTTTTTAGAGCACATAGCTTGGCCCCTAGCTGGTAATGCTAACATTTGCACTTCAGGTTCTTGACAAGAAACAACTTGCTGGCACTTAATTCTGATCAAAACTTGGTTAAGAAAAACTCTATTTAGGGAGGATTTCTCAAGGGACATGCAACCCACCCATGCCACAGGTATTGTATCATCGTTCATTAGATAAAGTCCTACATTAGGGGAGCTGCAGATTCAGGCACTCTCATCTTGTCCCAGCAGAGGGCCGCTTGGGCAGTCCTGAACACTGGTATTTTGCCATTGGCCAAATACAAAACATCAGGTGATATTATTTTTTAAAACAGCTCTATGAAACACCTCATTGTAGTATTTTCTGTAATAAGTTGTTAAGGCTAGCGCTTACTATATGAAACAGTGTCCTCTTTATGAGGGCTCATTGGAGGAATACTTCTCTGGTCTTCTTCCTGGGAACATGTGTGCTTCTAGAACCTGGACTTAGTTCTATGGTAAGGACTTCCTATGTGAGGGCTATAATATATTATGCTTTCCATACAGCAAGGTCAGCAACAAAAAGGCTTCTAGCCAAAGGTGTCCAGCCTTCAAAACATGGTATTTATAAACAGGCCTCCCCCTGACGTCACCTTATTCATATAAGTACTATCTTCTCTTTGACCCAGTCGCCTTATTTATTTCATTTTAGTGTACGTGGTATGTATTTTAAAAAATGCCTTCCATTCTTTTTGGAATAAGGTGGGCATATTAACAAATAGCCAAGTAAAGAGCTGAAAGATCTAAGTGAAGCACAGGAGAGGAATGCAGCTGAGATAAATCAGTGGTGCAACTCATTGAAATAAACCTTTTAATAACAACTCAAAGATAATTCCCATCTGAAAGTACAACATGAACACTCCTCTCTCTACCAAATGCAAAGATAAAGCTTCATATGTTACATGTTAGTCCCACTAATTCTAAAGGAGGGTTTTACTATAGACCTTTAGAAAGTATGTTTCCCTGTTCTCCTCCTTTTGGTGGAATACCTGTACCTACACCTAGATAAGTACACTTCCTATGTGTATGCTCACCAGACTTATTTGCGAACATACAGAATACTATGCTGAACATCAACTGAAAATATCACACAATATCCATAATTCCCATCAAGGAACAAATTGTTGTATCCCCAAATTTTAATGCAGCTTGGCATTCCTAACAGACACAAATTACCCATAAAATATTCACCTTTTTTTTAAAGAAAGTAAATAGACTTACTTGTATAACATTACTGTATTTCACAATTTCTCCCAACAGTTTCTTATTCTCTGATTCATTTTGTTTTTGTTCCAGTTCTGCAGCATGCTGGAAAATGGTTAGCAAATATTCATCATGGAAACATAGTAAACAGAGTAAAATAGTTGACAAAGAAACAAGGGTCATTTTAGGAACAAAGACTATAACCATGAATGAATTAGGCTGATTGCTCTACTCTTAGTGCTGGGGGCAGAGAACCAACAATTAAATGATTATAATATAGTATGACCATTCTCTCATGGTAATGCTGAAATGTGGCCAAATATATCTTGGGATGCTTCTATGTTGAAAATTTCAGAAAAGTACCAGGCTCTTTGGTCTTCTACAATTAGCTTCAGAAGGAATATTGTTAGACAAACCAAACAGAATATAGAAACAGTAGGTGAATTTCAAAAGTCTCAAAATAGTTTCAATTTCAAAAGTAACAGGAATTTTAATAACACACAATTTAAGTTCTATCAAATTTACATTCAGCCCAAATCAGAAGCAACAGACTTTCAGTTCTTTTTCTAGTCTTTCAGGAAAAAAATGAGGTACGATGCCAAGTAAAATATAACTGGATCTGATACTCCTACAGAGATTCTGAATGGTTTCCAAGTTTGATGTGAATCTTTGAATTAGTCTGGCACACCCTAAAAAATAGCAGGAATATATTAGCTACATGCCAGGAAATCAGTGGCCACACCCTATAACTTAAGTCTCTTCCACTTTCAGTGTGCTGCTACCTCTATTCTAAAATCTCTGTGCATTAAGCGAAATCACTGAGATACAAAACAGATCACTTGTTATTGCTGTTCTTGGTCTAGCCTCAGCTAGACAAATGGCAACCTGGCCCTTACCTGTAATTTCTTCAGCAAGGCTGCCTCTGTGTGGTTCCCCTGTTTGGCTTGCTTAGCTTTCCAATATTGTTTCTGGGCAGAATATCGGTTCATAGGGCACACCTTAAAGAGGCAGTCTATGACAAAGCAACAAACAAAAACACTGTAACTAAGGCAACCAGCATTTCTTAGATTTTCCTTTGAGCCTAGCATTGGAATCTTGCAATCCCTGAGTAGAAAGATTAAGCCTATCTCCCAATCAACTCAAACTCCCCCTATAACATTCTTTCTAAATAATTATTTAGACTGTTAAAATACCTTCTTCTTCATTAGTTTTGGTTTTTTAAAAGGCACCATAGCTAGCGTGATTTATTTAAAAACCAAGTCAATGTAATCATTACATTATAAGATACTTCTTAATTATAATGGGGTACCTGGTGTTAGAAAGTGAAGAGGATGAGATTAGTGATTTTCACTGCCTTACCTGACCTTGCACCATTAATTATTCATTCATGGTATGTATCTTTGACAGCTAAAGTGATGCAAGAAGTAGAAACAATCAATAACAACAAAACCCATTTCAGTCATCCACTCCCCAAGTTTCCACATACTGGGGTGAAGATGGCATGGAACTCTGAGACGCAGTGTGTTATAAGGGAAAAACAAAGCAAAAACAAACAAACAAACAAAAAAACTAAACCAGGATTATAGTTCTAACTCGACTACTAAATATCAAGATAGGAAATCATAGTGGAATAATATAGCTGGTGACATCTCGGAGCCAAAAAGCTAAACATATTTTTTTCTTTTTAATGAGGAAATTGGAAATTTGAGTAAACCATTCTTCCATCACTAATGATTTTGTATGTTTGTGAAATGGACTACAATCTACAATAAAGATCAACTCCCAATATTCTATGATAAAGACGTAGTGATACAGAAAATCCAAACATTACCTTCATTTTTTTCACAAAAAATTGTATTAACTCAATATGATAAATGTACTTTATTTTGGTTGACGTGTTAATATTTAAGGTCACTTTCATTTTTTAAATATGTATCACAAAAATAAAATTCTGTCAACTCAAATACCTACTTTAGCTACATTCTTGACTATATATATATACTCATTCTATTATTCTCTATTAAAATAATTATAAAATTGGCCATACAGAGAAAGACAGATACCATATGTGTTCACTCTTATGTGGATCCTGAGAAACTTAACAGGAACCCATGAGGGAGGGGAAGGAAAAAAAAAAAAAAGTAGAAAGTAGGGAAAACCAAAGCTTCTAGAAACTCTTAAAACTAAAACAGAAGCGCCTGGGTAAGCAGTCAGTTCAGGCGTCCGACTTGACCAGGTGCTGAATCTCGGGAAGTCCGTGGGTTGAAACCCAGCGTCAAACTCAGGAGCTGATGGCGCTTTCCGGGGCTGGAGAACCTGTTCTGATTCTGTGTCTCCCTCTCTCTCTGCCCCTCCCCCGTTCATGCTGTGTCTCTCTCTGTCCCAAAAAATAAATAAACGTTGAAAAAAAAAATGTAAAAAAAAAAAAAAACAAAAAGCTAGAACAACTGAGGGGCTGATGGGGAGGCTGGGAGGAGGGAGAGGGTGGGTGATGGTATTGAGGAGCACCTTTTGGGATGAGCACTGGGTGTTGTATGGAAAACAATTTAACAATAAATTTCATATATTTAAAAAAAATAAAATAAAATAATTATAAAATTAAATAATGGACTTGATTTCTTTTCAAATCTCTCTTATAGTTCTACTGGCATAAATTATCAAGAAATATGACTATAGGGGCGCCTGGGTGGTTCAGTTGGTTAAGCATCCAACTCCTGATTTCAGCTCAGGTCATGATCTCACAAAGGTTTGTGGGATAGAGTCCCACATCAGGCTCCATACTGAAAGTGGGGCTGCTTGGGATTCTCTCTCTCTCTCTCTCTCTCTCTCTCTCTCTCTCTCTCTCTCTCTGTCTCTCAAAATAAATAAATAAACATTAAAACATAATGACTTTTTCTATAGCTTGTAATCATAAACACAAATTCTACTGATTGTCCTCACCTTCCATATACAAACAGGCTACAGAAAACTAATTGTTAATTTTCTGGTGTAAAAGTTACTGACGTGGATGAGTAAATATCTTATACATAACAGGAAACAGACACCTTCTAAAAGGCACCACTAAAAGTAGGCTGAGAGACCATCACAATTACAGTATGATACAGATATTACCACTTGGTACATGTGTATGAACACCAAATAACTAGACCTGAAAACTGTTTCCCTTGGCAACATATTTTATAAGCCCTAAAAATATATTCTCCACATATTAGTAACTACAAAGAGAATATACAATTTTTTTCAAGCACCAGTATGGAAGCTGTTCACGGTTACCACCAAAACAATGTTCCCAATTTAATGCAGGAGACTATTCGGACTATCCTGTAGTAGACAAGTGACTGAATTCTACATTGTTTTAGTGCAGCAAAAACACAAATCCATATTCAAGTGGAACTGACTCCATAATCTGCAGTCTATACTTCTGATTCCACCCATGCATGAAAAGAGAAAAATTATGTTCCTCTCCATTACTTCAGATTCCTAATTAAGGTCATTAGGAAATGGTCCTCTGAGTGAAAAAAAATATTTTCACTAATTTCTAGATCACTTCAGTAGCATTCCTAATTAGCGGTATCTTTGGGTAACTAGCAAACAGACCGTGTGTGCCGTGGTCCTGATTGTTGTGGCTGAGGTTATTGTGAAACAAAGCCAAACATTCAGCCAAACCATGTTTACTGGTCTGCCTGTGTTGCTAGGTGCTAAGAATCAGGTCCTGTCCCCAAACATTCACAGTCTCGTGGATGAGACAGGCGTCTACCATGTGTTGGAAGTTTCACAATGGAGCTCAAGAGAAGGTACCATGAGGCACAAAGTTGCACGTGGCCAACCTCACCAAGGAGGTCACGATAGTCACCCAAAGGAGAAGATGTAAGGCACGGTTGAAAGAACCAACACCAATTCAGCACAGCGGCAAGGGGTCTCAAATGCACGGGTGTGGGGGGCATGCCAAACAGAGCCAACTGCCAGTACAAAGACAGAGAAGGAGAGTGCCAAAGGACCTGCTAAGTATACAGGAAAACCACAGCCCAGGCTGTGAAATGAGAATGGAGCGTTTGGTGAAGTCATGGTCTGTGGAGTCCTACGTGCTGGATTAGGAGAATGGACTTTATCCCCGGGAAAATGTCAAACTCTTACAGGATTTTAAGCTCTTACAGCATGTGAAAGATGATGTGAACAAGAGGCGAGGAGACCAGCAGAAAGCTCCCTGCCAGCGCTCTGAATTTGGGCTGCATGGTAGCTGGGGGATAGCCACAGCTTTCAGAGAAAGCAGCAGAAGCAACAAGCTTAATAACCTATGAGATGTGGGGTGAGGAGAGGTGAGAAGGAGAGAAAGTGAAGGTGGCCAGATGAACGAGCTGCCACCCACTGTGTCTGAGATGCAACTTCAAACGCTCTGATTTCCAAAGCTCTTTCCTCTTTCAGGGCTTTGGTTCCGTGGTCATCCTCAGCAGCCTCCCACGGATCACATCTCATTTCATACTACAGTAAATAAATAACCAATCTGTTTCTGTGTGGGAACCAGTATCTCAGGACTATTTTGGTTGATGGGAAAGAATGTAGGGCATACACAGACTTCTGTACAAATGCTTTTCTTGTTGATGGTGGTGATAGTGATTGTGATGGGTGTGTGTGTGTGTGTGTGTGTGTGTGTGTGTGTGTGTGTGTGTTTAATTCTCTCTTCCTCTTTTAGGAAACATAAAAAATCTACTGGTCTTGGGCTAGTCACATATTTTGTCCGATTCTAAATTGATTGCATAATAAAAGTGTTAATAATATGTGCCACACCTAATTCACAGGACTGCTGAGAGTCACAGAAAGAAAATCCGTGTGAAAGCACTCTGTGAATTTTAAAGCCTTCTTATAAATGTAAGATATTATTATTAATATTGCTTCATTGCTTCATTCATTCAGCAACAGCTTCACCAAGATTAAGAGATGACTAAACCCTCGCAGAGCTCCCAGCAAAGAGCAACAAGAAGTACCGGTCTCGGACTAAACCTGAACACAAACCAGAAATGCTCAACTCACAAGTGTATGCACCTGTGGTTTAAAAGCTGCCACAGTGTGTAATTGTATAAAATTCTTGAACTCCCTGAAATAGGACAGCAGTGAGCAGAGGAGGCAACCTGTATTACCATGCAATGCCTCTTAGCGTATGCAGGTATAAGCCCTACCACCAGCAAGGGAGGAGCCTTTGAACAGACCTCCCACACTCTTCCTCCTCCAGGATAGGAATCCCGCTATTTCAGAGCCTCCCTCTCTCATCTGCCCCCTCCACACCCTGCCCTCTAGTATTTCTTGGTCTGCTCATTCTCTAAATTCAAACATACATAAGAAAAAGTTTTCTGGGGATTTTTCCAATTAAAAAGTGGCTCAGTGTCGTTTGGGAATTAGTTGACAACATTCACTTCAGCATTTCGAGACTCAAGGAATAATTTTTAAAAGAGAAAGTTTTGCCTCATGGAGCAAACACTAAAAGCACAAATAAAAGGAAGTCATCTGAGTTAAGTTTTTTAAAAAGCTTAACCTGAAGACCTAAGGCCAATAATTTTGCAAAATTATATAGAGTTCATGAAATGTTAGTAATCCAACAAATCATGATATATTCAGTTAGGCAATATTATAAGGACAATGCCTTAGAATTAGAACTTTTTTTTTTTACAACTCTGGAAGAAGGAAATTAAACACCCCGGAAGTGTTCGCTTTAAACTGAAAGATCCGGCAGCATTAGGATGCTTATAAATTCTAGCGGTTTCTCCACTACAAAATATGGAAGCCATTCAAAGCATGGAGCACATAATGTGGATACCAAAAAAGTAACTATCCAACACGATTCCACGTAAATCTTGCAAGAAAACGGTCTAAACCTCCACTTACAACACCTATCTAAATAGCTTTGAAATGTTTTGCTTTGTATCTGTAAAAGCACTTTCTAAAATATTTGTACCTAAGGCAGTTTCTGCACCCGCCAGAAACTATCTATAGTACTCCATTTGGGGCTACTAAAGGCAA